GTTGTTAATTACATGATGTGAACATTCATATTAAAACATACGAATGTGAACGTTCACATCACTATGTTAGATGAGAGAGAATGTTCACATCAAAACAAGTTATGAATAAGAATATATTGTCAATTAAAAATATAATGAACGTTTTTTTAATGTATTGTTAATTAAAAATAAGAAGATTCACATGTTGTAAACGTTCGCACCACTACATTAGATGAGAGAGAATTTTTCGGAAAGGTGTTGTGAATGTTCACATCAGATGAGAGAGAATGTTCACATTATTTTTAATGTGTTGTCAATAAAAAATATATTCACATTATATAATAATATAAAATAATAACATCAATCAGTGTGTTTGATTTGAGTTTTTTTAATTAAGTTTTTTAAAAATTAAATTTTTTGGTTTTCGTGTTTTTTTTTATTTTTAGTGAATATTTTTAAAATTTTAAACATTTTTTTTACTTTTTTAGATGCACCTTACTTAGATGTATCTAAAAAGTAAAAAATTTGTGAAAAAATATTTTTAAAAATTAATAAATACATAAAAATAAAAAAATATACTGAATTCTCGTTTTTTTTTTTTTGTATTTTTGGTATTTATTGAATTTTTAAAAGGTTTTTTTAATTTTTTTTTTTACTTTTTAGGTATATATATGTTAGGTATGTTTAAAAATTAAAAAAAAAAATTGCTCAAAATATTTAAAAAATTCAGTAAAAACAAAAAAACATGAAAAATAAAAAATTAAAATTTTCTAAAAAGTGTTTTTGAAAAATGATAACCAAGCATAGCAATTTAATTTGTGTATGAAATTTCCTATGCCTTGGTCCTTTCCCTTCTCTATCCTCTCTCCTCTCTCAACATTAAAATCAACTTTAAATATAAAGGTATAAGAGTAAGAAAATAATGTAAATTAAGAAAAAACACTTTATAGAATAAAAGTATAAATACATGGGACTAAGTGGGTTAAAAAATTTTTTATGAATTTCTTGGATTAGAATATTTCTAAATGTGATTTATCAATAAAAAACCCTTAGAGTATTGAAATTTTGTTGCTAAAACATCTCCTTATCATATATATGTATATATATATATTGTATCAAGTGCATCAAATGTTCTTCTTTTTTTTCTTTTTCTTTTTCTTTTTTTTTCTTTCAATTGAAAAGAAGAAAAGAAAACATGTACTCACACAACCATATAATCTCATAACAATTTTGTAAGGATCAAACATACGACACATTTCAAAATGCCTAGTCTTAGGAATAATATTTTCTGGCATATAAAAAATAGTATAAGAATAAATTTTTATATATGTAAAAATCTAAAATAATGGGATTTATGAGCACAAGTAACGAGTCTTTTATTCATATGTATAGAAATTTTATATAATTTAAATAAAAAAAAATAGCAACATTGCTTTTAGCATATTTAATTTTATATGCATAAAAAATGTGTGTTAGTTATATATTATTTAGCTCATTCCTTAATAATTTAATTAAACTTTTGAGACAATCAATGTTTTAACATGATATAACTCTGTATGTGAAGGGTCCTAGTTACAAATCTTAGCTATCCTTTTATACCTTCCACATGTGAAATATTACACCTTGTTATCTCATTTGTCTCTCCGAGTACAAAATATGACATGACGTTCTACTTGAGTTTCCATGTGCGAAACGACAAATGATCACTTGTAATTTGTAAATGGCGATGGGTATATTTGGTGTAGTTTTTTTCAAAATTAAAAATAAATATCCAAAAAACAGAGAAGTATAATTTCACTAACTTATAAATAATTAATTTTTAAACTTATTTATGTTATCTCTACTTTATAAACTATAACAAAAGTTATATACTAAACATGTTAATAGAGACTTAAAAAAGAAAAGAAACTATAAACAGCACCGAACAACACTAAATAGGAGCATTCGACGGATATTCTGATCCGTCCAAACTGATCGAACTAAACTGAATCAATTTGTCGCATTTTGAATAGATGCATGATAACGACCGGATGGTGACGGATTGATTTTTTTCAATCCACCTAGTTTTAGAAGGATGGCGGATTTGAGGTTTATTTGGCCGCAACTGAACCGTCAAATCGCAAGCATTCCTAGTAATTTGTAAAACTTTATGTTTTCAGTTTGTTTAGATATTTTATTTGTATTTTTAATTGAAAATGAATTTAGATATTTTGTTATATTTTCAATTTGTTTTCAATTTAGAAATTCTTTTATCAAATGGCAAGTGTTAACATTTGGTATTTTTGTGTGAAAAATATAAGGCTTAATTTTGTCATTTTCTTTAAAAATCAAATTAAATAGTTTTTGAAAAAAAAAAAAAGCAATGAAATAGTTTTTGATTTTTTTTTTATCGGCAAAAAATATCTTTATTGATGGAAACAAACAAAGTGATAGGTTACATCAATAAAGAAGAGCTCAGAGCTAGGACAAGCTCAAAGCTCCAGTTGGTGAGAAACCAACAAGAAGAGAAAACAGAAAACAGAAAAACAAAAAACAATCAACCAAATAATACCTGAACCTGCCCAACACATCCGCAGATCATCACCAATTCAACATGACAAAACAAACATTTTGCTCCGCAAGGTTCTCATAACCAAATCACCTATGAACAACTCGAAAGATGGCTGGGGTGTATAAATTAACCACAGAATTAGCAGCAGAAGCCTAGCAGATCGCTACCAGCCAGAAAAACCAGTTCAGAAGCAGAACAACACATCACCCACAGATCACTAATTCCAGAAAACTAGTTTAGAGGCAGAACAACAGATCACCAACAGATCACTAACAGGATGGGCTAACAACAAATAACTCTACCATCCACAGATCACCACCAACAGATTGCAGTTCATTGACAGATTAGATTAGTAACAGGACAAACAGTAGCAGAAACACCAGTGGGATAACATCAGCAGATGAAGACAGAGTAGACCAAGAGTGCTGCAACTGATACTCAACAACACAGCGATAGATTTCTTTTAAACTAAATAACATAGCCTGGTTTGTCTCCAATTGAGAACCACGCCCTCGACTGTGAAGGGGAAATCCTTAATAGAAGCTTTAAGCCAAAGAGCCAATCTGATCTTAATAAGTTCCTACAATTCTGCAGAATTATGATGAGCATCTCTAAAAACACACTCATTCCTAAGTCTCCAAAGGGACCAGAGTACTACCAGTGGGATCGCTCCCTAAAATTTCCTGAGTGGGTGCTTGAATTTATCTCCCATCCACCAATTGAACAGAGCTGCTACAGATTATGGGTTACACCAACAGAGCCCTCATTCATATAACATAGATGACCAAATGGTCCAAGAGAAGTGACAATGAAGTAAAACATGAGAAACAGATTTGGGGGCCATTTTGCAGAGACGACGTAACGGAGAGACATTGCTGCCTAAGATACCAATATCGAGCAGAAACACCGCTGTTTTAACTCTATTTTTCTATGCTAACCATCTGAAGAAATGTACTTTGGAAGGTAAGATATTGTTCCAGATGAATTTGCTGATGTTGAGATATGGCCCAAGGAGAGAATTACAAAGAGAATATAAGGAAGACACAGAGAAAACACAAGAACCTGAGGCTGCAGAAGACCACACCATGCTATCAGCACTGTTGAGGCTCAAGAGGGGGGAGGGCAGAAGATAACATTATAATCAACCTAGCTTCAATGGCCTCTTCCCAGGCATACATGATTCTTCTATATGGAAAGTTCCAAACTGTAGAGCTGGTTTTCGTGGCATAGAATTGTTGAAGAGAACCATTCTTATCAACAGACAGGTTGAAGAGAGAGGGGAACTCATTCTTGAGATAGGCAGATCCACACCACTTGTCATGCCAAAATCTGATACGATTACCATCCTCAACCTTGATTTGGCAGTTATCCAAGAAGAATTGAAACGTATGTGAATTATGGACTCCTATAAAAGTGATGTCCTTTCATACCCTAGAGTACTTGTAGGAGGATTGCACAGGGGCATGCCAACACTAAACCTCAATTTTATACTTACTACAAAGAACTTTCCTCCGTAATGCTGAGATTTGATTTCCAAATTTCCACCACCATTTTAGAAGCAAGCATGCATTAACATCCCTGATCTTTGATAATGCATTATTTTCTTATAGGTATTTATGATTTATATTTGACAATTTACTTGATAATCTTTTTAGTTATGTTGAGTTGGATTGTTATCGAAAAAAAATGTTGAGAAGTTGTTGTATTATGTTCAAAATTTCTAAAAGTTGAAAACGCCAAACCGATTCGCATCCATTCATCAATCTGCTAATCCACTCAATCCTCATCCGTCAATCCAGTGGATGGATACAGATCGATTTTTTTCAATCCGCCAATCTGACAGACGGATAGCGGATTGGAAATTCCCTAACCGTAACTGAACCGCGAACACCCCTAACACTAAGCACTGGTTTGGGAAGTTGGGTCGAGGTATGTCGGAGCTAAAATAGTTACAACAAAAACAAAACAGGCTTTTTTATCTTAGGCTAAAAATGTCACATCCAAATTATAACTATTATTTTTTTTTTTATAAAAGTTAAAAAAAATCATCCCAAACGAGACTTTTTAGTTCTAAACTATAATAATTAAAAAATAAAAAAATCAACATACATCCCAAACGAAATCTAATATTAATTAAATTTGATATATGTACAATATTGGATTGTTTGTGTCATTGGGACAAGTAATGATTTCAAGATAGCGTAAATGATAACAAGAATTAGATCTTTTTGAAATGAACCAACATTAGATCTAGAGCCACTGAATGAGTTAATAGGTCCAATTCTTTTGCCCCTATGCTCATGACGTGGCAAAAAAGGAATTTGGTTGCGACAAGTATCTGAATAGGGCCAAAGCTGGCAAACACTAGAGATTTAAAACAGAAAGCATCACTTTTTTATGCAGTCCCATGCATGAAGCTCTCTCTCTCCTCACTTTTTCTTGAGGAGAGGAGTTACAAGAAAATCTTTACAACTTTTTTTCATGCACAATTCTTGACCTTTCTGTTCTCCTTCTCATCTATATATACCTACCTGTATTCAATTCTTTCTCTCTGTCTCTCTCTCCCTCTCTCTCTCCCTCTCTCTCTCTCTCTATCTCTCTCCAAAGAAGTACTTGAAGAAGAAAAATGGAGGGAGATATGTTGCCATTCCTGGCTATGGTGATAGTACAAGTGGGGTATGCAGGGATGAACATACTGTCAAAACTGGCCATGGATTCAGGCATGAACCCTTTTGTCCACGTGGCGTACAGGCAGATCTTTGCCTCCATTGTTATAGCCCCCTTCGCATACTTCTTGGAGAGGTAAAAGAAAGAAACTCATCATCATATTCATTTTTTTTAAATAAAAAAAAAAAAAATTTAGTTCTTGGGATCATTTTATTTATGTGCTTGGTTACTGCAATGGGTATGCATGTGGTTGTTTTATGTCTTTATTTATTTATTTTTGATTGATATAAAACTAGGTTCGATTCTAATTGTTTCTTTACATGTATTGATCAAAAAATGGAAACCATTTTCTTGATGTGCCGTTTTAAATCGAAAGGCACACGCCAACTGTGAAAATTACTTAGAGCTAACTTTGGTGAATAATACCAGAAGTGAACACGTGTTGTGTGCGGAATTTACCTTTTAAATAATTATGCATATTGCTATGTATACAAATACTTTAAATATACAAAAGTTGTGATAGATTTTTTTTTTTAAAATTTAAATTGTGTGCTTTATATAATATAATATTATATAATATCTTAATAATATAATATAAATAATAAAATTGTTTCTCTTTTAAAAAGTTGAGTTGGTTGTTAACAATGTAATATGGTATTAAAGAAAATAATAGATCATGTGTTCAAATTTTACTATCTACCCGATAATTTAATAAAAAAAAAAAATTATTTACACATGTTTGACGTCTTATATAGAAAAGCCTGAGCACACGTAATGTTTCCAAAGCTTTTAAATGAGTTGGTAAAGCACTTAAATCAGAAAGTGTAATGTTATATATATCATATTATGGTTTCGTTTGAAAATAAATTATTCTAATAATTTTTTAATTTTTTACAAAAAGATATGTAGAAAAATAAAGAGAATGATGTGATAATTTATAGTGACTTTTTAAATTTTTGATTAAAATGTATAGTTAACAAACGAGACTTATATCACTTTTAATATATCACCTCATATATAAGCACATTATTGGTGTAAATGGATCTCATTACTTGTGTCTATCTGCTAACACATAAACTAGTATCCTAAAAGTGATAAATATAGCATTACTCAATCTAAAATGAGTATTTTAAAAATAAAAATGAAAAATCGTGACAAAATTTTAATAATATACATACAAACAACAACTCTATTCATACAAGTTTCAATTCATAGTGTGTGTATATATATATATATATATGTGTGTGTGTACATGAGATTTGTAGACAATGTGAATTATAAGAAAGGGGTATTAGCAATCTGCAGTGTCATGAAGTAGTCATGTATTTGTTACATTCTTGTCATGTGCAAGGTGGTGTTATACACGAGACCATCCTTAAAATGGTTGTTTGGGTTTCATTATGTGTTTTTGTCGCTTTCTTTTTCTTTTCTTTTCCTTTCATTTTCCTTTTTCTCTTACTATTTGAAGGTACTCGATTCTTGTACATACATACCTAAATGGCCTTTCGTATACATATCAAGAAGTCTATGTATAAAGAATTAGATAATAAATACTTACATTTTTCTTGTATTTGGACTCCACAATTTGTATTTGTAATTGATCTAAGTACAATATGATGCTTTTGTTCTCTCCTTGGTTTCTCACCAATTCTGGAAGTACTAGCAAATGATAGGATGAGCTTTTTGTTGCCAACCGTTATGATGCTTTTGCACTTCCCTTTTCTTTATTGATGTTTTTTTATTTTGTACCGTGTACTTGATTCTTACATCAAAAAAATAAAAAATAAAAACCAAAATGTACTAAAATTGTGTTATATTTTTTCATATTTAATACAAATATTTTACTTTTTAAATATATCTAAATTAGGTGAATCTAAAAATAAGAGAAAAATTAATTAAAATATTAAAAAAATTCACCAAAGATACAAACATAAGAGAAACAAAAACTAAAAAATTATTTTTAAAAATTCAAAACCGGGAAAAATTAATTATTACTTGTAATTTTGTCCAATACTTTTATGCATTGTTAAAGTTAATGTGTTTTAACACCTTACTGCAGAAAAACAAGGCCAAGGATGACACTGCCCATTTTCTTCCAGATATTCTTATGTTCCATTTTTGGGTAAGTCATCTTCAACATTTAGTATTGTATTAAATCTTTCTATTTTAAAACCCCATAGTTCAATTTATTTATTTATGTATCTCCTATGTAAATTAATTAATCTGGGGATGAAATTCACAGGGCAACCTTAAACCAGGTTCTTTACTTTGTTGGGCTGTATAATTCTACCCCTACGATCGCTTGTGCATTGTCCAATTTGCTCCCTGCGGCCACTTTCATTCTCGCCATCCCTTTCGGGTATTTCATTACTACATATCTAGAAAAAACGTCAAGTAGATATAATAAAAAAAAAAAAAATTTATTACTAATCAACGAAGTGAAAGCGAGAATTGTATACACTGTGGACATTGTTTTGGCCGGGACCACGGCACCAAATTTTAAAAATTAAAAAAAAAATCATTAGATCCCAGGGTATTTTGAGTATATGTTTTGTTTAGTTTTTGAAAATTACTCTTACGCTGTGTTTGGTTAGGGGATTTGGAGAGGGATTTGGAAAGGAAAAGGGAAAATGTGTGTGAAACTATGTGAAATGTAGGCATGTTTTTTTTACATTTCACCTACCTTTTTCATTTCTCTTTCCAAATCCCTCCTCAAATCCCTCAACCAAATACAGTATTAAGGTTTTTTATTTTGTGTTTCTCAATTTTAGTAAATTTCTTTCATATTTTAATTTTTTTTACTTTTCAAATGCACATAATTGATTCTTGAAGCCTTTATTTATTTTTATGTCAAGTCTCATTTATTTATGTAAAAGAAAGAAGGACTTTTCTTAATGCTGTGTTTGGTTGGGGTTTTTGAGGTGGGATTTGGAAAAGGAATGAGAAATGTAATCCTATTTATGTTTGGTTATAATAAAAAATATATGGGAAAAGAAAGGGGGTGAGAAATAAATAAAGAAATAGGAGACCTTTTAGGACATCAATTCTATTTTATAACCAACACAACCAAACATAGTTGGGATTTGGAATTCTATTAATTCTTTCTCCTTTTCCTTTCATTTCCATTTCTCTTTCCATTTCCCTTCCCAAATCCCCCAACCAAACACAGCGTTAAGGTTTTTTATTTTGTGTTTCTCAATTTTAGTAAATTTCTTTCATATTTTAATTTTTTTTACTTTTTAAATGCACATAATCTACATGCATATCTAAAAAATAAAATATCAATGAAAAAAATTATAAAAAATTACTAAAGATAAAAAGGAAAAGATATTTATTTATTTTTGTTTTTAATAAACATTTTTCAGATTTTTACTTTTATGTACATCTTATGCCTATCTAAAATGTTTTAAAAAAACTAGACTAGAATATGAAGGGAAAAAAAAAGTTTACTAAGGACACAAAAAACGAAAAAACCTCAAAAACAATTTTGGAGTTTGAAAATTCAAACAAAATAGTAATTTAGCCCCCAAAATAGATGTATTTTTACTTTGGCCTTTCAAAAATTTAATTAGTTTCACCTTGACTCTTACTTTGCAAAATTTATGGGTTTGCTATGGCCCCATGATACAATTCTCAATTATACTGGACGCATTTTACTTGCAAAATTTATGGGTTTGTATCAATTACCCATTTTTATTTTTACTCATGTTTGTATACAAACATATTTCTTCATCATGGTGATTATAGTATAAATTAGTATTATAATGATGGCGACGTTTGGTAGATTGGAAAGTGTGGGAATGAAGAGAAAGGCAGGACAAGCAAAGATATTGGGGACAGTGGTGTGTGTAGGTGGAGCAATGCTGTTGTCATTTTACCATGGGCATGCAGTGATTGGGGAATCAAGCATTCATTGGAAGTATGCAGATGACATGGGGAAAGAAAACTCTACTAACCATCATCAGTCCAACAGCTTCATCTTGGGCCCCTTTCTAGTCATGGCTAGCACTGTCTCTTGGGCAGTTTGGTTCATTATCCAAGTAAGCAACTTCACCAACCAACCATAAATCACTCACTACAATTTAATTACCAATTAATGCTTTTGTTTGTTTTGCCCAAAGATGCTAAAAAATATTTATAAATACAAAAGCCAATCACAAAATCGTATAATTTGTTTCACATGAACTGGGCTGAAACTATACTTATTTGGAGTAAATATAGTTGATTTTGTAATTGATTTTTATATTTTTAGAAAAAGTATTTTCTAAAATGTTTTTAATATTTTTTTTTAGCCTTTGGTACATACAAAGAAAACTAAAGTCAAATAAAAAGTTCCTCTTGACAAAATATATATTTTTATGTCTGATTTCTATATTTTTATATATTTTTATGTCTATATATTTTTTTAATTATGATTAATGGGGGAAAACAAGTTCCTCTTGACAAACATATATTTTTATTTTTTAAAAATGAAAAACATTTCTCACAACGTTACTATCACTAAGATTGACAGCTAAACACACACACACAAGTACAAACTATTTATGGAATACATTTTGTTGAAACTTTATAAAAACTATTTTATCCTTAAAAAAAATTAAGTTACATGAACCTTACTTAATTCTAATTGAATTTATAAATACTAAATATAAATATCGATATACATTATTATAAACCCACCACCACTATTATCACCATCGTTACTACCATTACCACTATCATGTTACCGTCACTACTACCACAACCACCACCCTGAACACTACTCCTACGACTACCACCACTATAATGTCACCACCGTCACCGCCACCATTGCTACTACTACCACTACCAATACCACCATCATGCCACGACCATAGCCATCACTACCACTATCGCAATCACTATCATCACTACTGCCACTGCCACCACCACAATCATGCTACCACCACCACTAGTATTACTACGTCTACTTTTGTCACAATTGTCATTGTTGTCGTAAGGACTATCATCATTTTACTATCACTACCGTCACCACTGATGCTGCCATCATACCATCACTACTACTACTATCACCACCATCATAATATAAAAATTAAAAGACACAATTTAAAAATAATAAATTATAAATTTAATTTTATACATATCAAATAATTTATTTTTAGTTTGGCACTTAAATTTTTATTAAATAGCTTTTAAAAAATTCAGTATTCAATTTTCAAAATTTAATTTTTAATTTTATCAAATACTATCTTAATATAAATTTGAATTTTATTTAAATAATTATTTAATTATTGAGAATACTGGGTGAAATTATTATGATAATAATAATAATGATACAGGCGAAAATGAGTGAGAAGTATGCAGCACCATATACCACATCAGCATTAATATGTTTAATGGCGAGCATTGAGTGTGGAATCATTGCTTTATGCGCCGACCGTAACATTTCTGCCTGGTCCCTCTCTCCTCCCGGAATCAGACTCTTTTCATCTCTTTATGCGGTAATGCTTCCCCCTCCTCATTACTTCTTCTTTCATCTTTATTAACTTATTTATTATTACTCGCCTAGGCCACAAAAAAGTATTCTTATATTAAAAAAAAAAAAACATAAATAAATTACCAACATATGTGCTGTTAATATTTGTTAGTAACAGCTTAAGGTGTTGTTAGTGGAAAGTCAAAAATTTAAACTAACGAAACAATGATGAATCTTTTTAATTTTAATTTAACTATACTAACATCCTAATCTTATTTAAAAATAAAAAATAAATAAAAAAAAATGTGCTGTTAATGTTAGCCCATTTTCAACAAGTTTTGTGACTTCATATATCACTAGATTTTTATTTATTTATTCTTTTTTTTTCAATAGTTTGTATTATCATTGACCAACTTTCTTAGCAATGTATTATAATGTGTAGATTTGCTCAAATTTTATTAGTCCATCCAATATCAAGTTCGAAATTTTTTTTTATTAGATTCAATTTTGAGTTTGTGTGTGGTAGTTTAATCTAAACCTTTGATTTTTTTTTTTAAAAAAATACTCACGTAGTATCTTTTGGGCTTGGAATTTACATATTCAGCCTAGGGCCCAACTCAACTCACTATTAAATTAATTAATTATAATGTATTAAAATATATATTTTTTGTGAGAATTTAGACTTTATTTTTGTTGATTTTATTAAAATTCGTATTTGTTGTGATGTTTGACTAAATTTATTTAAAAAATCCTTCAGATTATACACAAAATTCTTCAATTTATAATGATATCAGTATATTTGTTTAAAAAATATAATATATGATTGAATTTAATTATGCAGTGTTTTAAATTTTTTTTAATATATAGTTTGATAGGTAGACTTGAGATTTATAATTATTTTTTTGGGTCGGGCTTAGGCAAATGTAGAGGCCTAATATTAGGTCTGAGTCAGGATTGGATAGATATAAATATTTTATTATGTAGTGTCGGTCCGGTCTGGCCTGACAAATGCCTATCCCTACTCTCCAGGTAAAATTGTCAAATTTTTTCAAAATATCATGTGATCATGTGTCCATCTAATAATATTTTATAATTTCTCTATCATGTGTTCTTATTTTTCGGGCCATGTATGCATTTAGCTCCTGCTATTGGATGGACAAACAGTCTATAAAATTTTGAAAGGCATGATAATTACTCACTTACTAGAATTAATTCAATCTCTTTTCAAAAAGACTCGTGGTGATTGTAGATGAAGGACATATATTGTTATTACATCTATTTTTAGTTTTTGTGTGTTAAAACACATATGTACATTTACACGGAACTGCTTAGTTAATTGAAAAAGACACTAATAAAAAAAAATTACAAAAAAAATAATAAGAGTCCTAGAATTGTGTATTTCAGGGAACTGTGTGTACTGCAGCAGCATTTTGCCTAATGTCATGGTGTATCCAAAGGAAAGGTCCTCTATATGTCTCCGTGTTCAGTCCCTTGCTGCTCATTATCGTGGCGATTCTCAGTTGGGCGCTTCTCGAAGAGAAATTATACATTGGAACGTGCGTTAATCATTTACCAATTTTCATTTTTTTTTTTTTTTTTGAATCAACGTTCATTTAACAATTCTAGCATTTTGAAAATAGACTCATCATAGTTTTGCTATGACAGTGCTGTAGGGTCTGGATTGATAGTCATGGGGCTCTATGCTGTTCTTTGGGGAAAGAACGGAGAAATAAATGTAAAGAGCAATTCTGAGTTGTCGAATCTAGAAGAAGAAGAGGAGAAGCAAGAGGCAGTGAAGAATGACTTGGAAATGCATTTTTCCGGGCTTTCAAATGGCGATTTTCATAGCATCAGAACCTAAACATAGAAAATGGTGGCAATGACAATTAGTTTCCCTACTTGATACGTTCATCATCATCTTTGGATGGGCTTTATGGGCAAAACAAGCTAGCTAGCTAGTCAGCCTTTCTTCTTTATTCAATGGTGTATTCAATTACAAAATGATGGGGAAAAGTTTTTCTCTTGTTGTTTTTGGCAGCATTGAGAGTCTTGCAGCTAGCGAAGAGATAAGTAGTCTATATAACCCAAAATAAAAATAAAAATGAAAAAAGAGTCCTATTATTAGGAGGAAAACCCACATGATTTTGGTAACATCACAGCAACAATAAGGTCAAGTTTGGCAACCTAAAAATAATCTACCTTTTTATCTTTTTATCTTTTTTCTATCACATCACCTCTCTATTTTTCTGTACATTTTTTTCGTAAAAATACAAAAAATATACTTATTTAGGTCATCCCAAACAACTTCTAAATAAGAGAAAATGATGGAATTGCTATACCAAGCTAATTCTGCTTTTAGTCAAATCTCTCTTTCTCAATTTCTAAGGTCGTGTTTAAATTTTGGATTTTTTTGGAGGATTTATAAACATAAAAGAAAAATGTGAAAATACAATTATATTCTATTGAGGCTTCATTTGAAAATTGATTATTTGAGTTAATTTTTTAACTTTTTATACAAGGACATACAAAAGAATAATATAATAATTTATAGTACATTATTAATTTTTTTTGACTAAAAACCTACCTTGTCAAACGGAATTATTTTCCTTTTTCTTTTCTTTTCTTTTCTTTTTTTTATTCACATCCCCAAGACAAAGTTAGTCATGGTTAAAAGTTTGGGAGGCAAAAGTTAGTAAAAAATGACGGAGAAGTATGTTATTATTATTGTTATAAAGAATTAATGTCGACACTAGCAAAACTTATAAAAAAGAGCAAATTCCACTTTACTCTCTTGTGATTTGAGTCGGATGCGGATTACTCCCGACATTCGAAAATCATCACATAACCCCCATATCGTTTATGGACTACAATGCACCATTAATTTTTTTATCTAAGATAACGAGCTGTCCTATCTAGAGAGTATGTCTACTTTTAGGACGAAAATGTCCTTGATACATATTCAAATTTACCAAAGAATGCCATTATTTTTTCCTCTCTCTATAGTCCATTTCTTTTCGACCAGCACCTCCTATTAATACTGGTATGTTTCTGATAAATTAACCCCAGAAAAGTATTCACATGGGGATCCAATAACAATAACCATTGAGTTTTGATTGCCATCATGAACCCATCACTCTTCCATCATATCTCCAGGGCCATTTTCTTTATTTGCTTTCTTTTTTGCTTGCTTATCCTCAACAAAACCAAAGCTGCCCCAACTTATCAATATAATTGTTAGAAAAATAGTACCAAACTAAATGGAAAATATAATTTAAAATTATGCAAACGCTTTTTGGGCAAAACCAAAAATTGAAATAAATCAACATAATAACGTGATTAAACTTACAGTACATAAAAAAATAAAACCTAATTGAGTCGAGTGTGTGACCCTCTTTCCTTAAGACAGATTCGTCCTCCCACCGGTGCTTAGGATTCAATGGACGTCTATCTCCCAGGATACAGCGATCAATGTCTTGCACTAGCAGCACTACTATTGCAAGCCTAGCGAACTTTGCTGTGCATGAACTCTCTTTATAGGAAAATTAGACTCAGGAAAAATGAAGAATAAATGCAAAGTGAAGAAGAATGGCAATTCACCACTTTTAAAATGAAGTGAGGGACATGGAATATAAAGACTTCTAAGTGACTCTTCAAAAAGGTTGTGATCCTTCAAAAGGACACACCCTTTCATTTCAAGAGACACAACTATTGAAGTAAATTAAATTCAAAACTTTCCAACAATAATAATATACTTGCCCAAACACAACAACTTACACTCCCAGCACATACCAAACCAACCTCAACATTCTCCTCTCTATTCTCTCCTCTAAACCACTGCTACTAAATAAGTAATACAAAAATGTCCTAATTCAAAGGTTGTCACAATTTGGTACATAATAAAACCAAACATTAATTCAAATAATTCTAATTTTATAACTTAATTTCTAATTTGTAACCTAGTTCTGGTCTCTAATTTAATTACATTTATAATATACATACATGTATACACATATACTTATATACATGCTTACATATATAATACACATAACCAAACAAAAAAAATTCAATAGATTCATTGGAGCGAATAGATTATGAACACTGGGAATTTGAACGTGTTATGGCTGGAACCTAGAAATCTGATTGTAGTAGGTGCCATTACTAAGAAATTAGATGGTGCTAGTTGCCATCGTTGGCAGTGAATGAGAATGACACATGCAGTTGTTGTGGATGGAGTGTAAGGCGGTGATGCCAAAGTGAAGGAGTGGGAAGAGAAGAGAATGAGAATAAAGAGGAATGAAGGCGATGATTGGCAGCGACGATTGATGTCATGGTTGCTGTCATAAGAGAGAGAAGATGCAAGATGAACATAAGTTGGCTGAAAGGAAGAAGAAGACAAGGGTGGGTATAAAGGTCAATTTACCATTGTTGTTAACAGAAGTTATAAGTGCATTTTTGTCCATAAACCATGTGGGAGTTATGTGGTGGTTTCCAAATGTTAGGGGGGTAATCTGCACCCGACTCAAACTATAAGGGGATAAAGTGAAGTTTGTCCTATAAAAAATTAGTGTCAACATTAGCAAAACTTATCAAAAATTAATGTGACACTAGCAAAGCTTATCAAATATTAGTGTTGACACACTAGCAAGCTTATAAAAAAATTAGTGTCGATACTAGTGTCAGCACTGGTGCCAACGCTAGCAAAACTAATAAAAAAATTAGTGTTGACACGAACAAAGCTTATCACATATTAGTGTCAACACTAGTGTCAACATTAGCTAAGCTTATAAAAAATTAGTGTTGACACTAACAAAGCTTGTAAAAAATTAGTGTCGAGCAAAGCTTATCAAAATTTGTTGAAAATTTGATGAAACTCACTGCTCTATCCAACAATACTACCTCATCATCCTCTTAGATTACAAATTAAACTCATCTCGAATTCAATCCCATAACGGTTGATTTGCACCAATAGTTGCATATTCTAAGATGTGCAACCATGCTTTAAAGCGTGCTTCATATTCTGCTTTTGTCCAATTGGGATTACTTTCTTTGTATTGCAATTTACCCTTTCCCTTCATCTTATTTTGTGTTGTGGCAAGATGTAAATCACTAGTTTGAGAAGGTTGATGAGATTGAAATTGAAATTGTTCTGGTATAAATTGAGTCAATGGGGTGGGAGGATTTTTTTAGTTTACTCATTGTAGTAGTATAGTATTTATGAAGATGTCGTAATTTATAGATTAAAAAACACAAAAAGTCATATGAAAAATAATGGTTGGTTGGTAAAAATAAATTAGAACAACATAATGGTGAAAGATAAGTTGTCGAAAAATTTAAAAGTTAGTTGGATTTAGCACTTGATTGTGCCAAAATGGCAAGCCACCACTGGAGTGGTATAGTCAAAAAATAATTTTTTTGTACTGTAGCACACTAAAAAATGACTTTGACAAAGTCATTTTAGCTTTTTCCATTGAAGATACTTAGGGGTGGGAATTTTGACCTGATTTGCCAATCTACCCAACTGACCCTTAATTTTAAGGGTTTGGGTGGAGATTTTGAGTTGTTTATTAAATTTTAAGGGTTTGGGTGGAGATTTTGAGTTGTTTATTAAAGGTAGGTCAAGTTTGAGTTGACATTTTCTTACCAGATCATAAAATAATTCAGTTTCATGATAAATCTGTTAGAAAAAATAGTACCAAACTATCTCGAAAATATAAATTAAAATTATGTAAATGGTTTTTTGGCAAAACCAAAACTGAAATAAATTAACAAAATAACGTAACAAAACTTACAGTACATAAAAAGATAAAACCTGATCGAATCGAGTGTGTGGCACTTTTCCTTAAAAGAGATTCATCCTCCCACCAGCGCTTAAAATTCAATAGACGTCTATTTCTTAGGATACAACGATCAATGTCTTGCACTAGCAGCACTACTATTGCAAGCTTAGTGAATTTCGCTGCGCATGTACTTTCTTTATAGAAAAATTAGACTCAGAAAAAAATGAAGAATAAATGCAAAGTGAAGAAGAAAATTACAATTCTCTAATCCAAAATGAAGTGAAGGGGATAGAATATATACATTCCTCTATAACTCTTTAGAAAGGTTGTGACCCTTTAAAAGGATACACCCTTTCATCTCAAGAGATACAACCATTGGAGTAAATTGTAATTCAAATTTTTCAACAATCCCCCACATGAATGAAATTTACGGAAATGACATGCAACAACATGCAGACAAAGAGCGAGTACATTAAGGAAATGCCCTGCATTGGGATAGGTAGCTTTTGGCTTTGAACCTTCCCTAGTGAAAGCCTATCGGACTTACTAGCTAATCAGTGGACATGATATCTTGAACTGTTCAGCCGTTTGTGTAAGCCAAGACAATAGAATTCACACAGAATATCTCTAGACACAATTTAGTTCTCACGGTTGTGCCCATTTTGGCCTTGGGCATCTCCTGGTATTTCATGAGTGGTTTAGAGAATTTTTCCTTATCAATTCTCATAAAAACGACCCCTTCACACTCATATAGGTGATCCTTATTTTGAATCTCTTAAATACTCCTCTTGAAAGATATTCGTCTAGGGTTTGCAAGATATAAGTGATAATTAAAAGCATAGCTTACCCTAAGTTCCCTACATACAACACATATTGTAGATATCACTCTCATTATAGGAATGGATAGGAGTTAGACTCCTTTAGTGATTTCTAGTGAGCCACACATAACTTAGTTGTCCTTTTGAATTTAGTTCTTGGGATCTCAAATCATTTAAGTAGGGTTACCATTATGATGACTCTGATGTAATAGGCTTTAATCACATTCCCCTCGATGAACTTTCCCTCATTTGCTCTTTGGTCAAACTTTTTGTTTAGCGGCCGCCATTTTATATATGATTGAGTCTTTCGTGGATCCACTATATTATCCTTAGACAATATGTACAACTGAAAACAAATGTCTTACGATATTAAGTCTTTGATTACGTCGAGACTTACCGTTACTCTATGTCACTCCTATTTTCAAATTTAAATAATAAACATAGAAGTGTTCCTTAGGAGTTAATGAAACCACATTTGCTTCTACTCCAACTTTGTCCTATAAAAAGAATTGAGATTCTTTGTGGACCTACAATCGGAACCTTTACTTTGGTAAAATCCTTCAAGCACCCCCACATTTTAAACATTCCAAG